TTTCGGCGTGACAAAATGACCTAAGTACTCAAGCTCTTGCTTGGCGAACTCGCACTTGTCGAGATTCGCTTTGTACTTGGCTCGTCGCAAACGATCCAGAACAACGCGGAGGTTTACGATGTGCTCGTCCAACGTCCTACTGTAAACCAAGATGTCATCGAGGTAAATGAGGACGCTGCGATCGAGCAAGTCGCAGACCTCAGTCCTCATCGCTGCTTGGAAAGTTGCGGGGGCATTGGTGAGGCCAAATGGCATTACAACCCACTCAAAATGCCTGTACCGTGTCTTGAACGCGGTTTTGTACCGATCTTGAGGCTGGATTTCAATATGGTGGTAACCTGACTTCAAGTCCAACTTCGAGAAGTACGTCGCGCCGCCTAACCGCTCAAGAAGATCATCAATCCGAGGGAGAGGGCCGGTGTTCTTTACGGTCTGTGCGTTAAGTGTCCGATAATCGATGCATAACCGTAGATCTTTGTTCTTCTTCCGAACGAAGAGAACAGGGGCGCCGTATGGCGAGCAACTAGGGCGAATCCAGCCCTTGTCGAGAAGGTCATCGAGTTGTGCGCAAAGCACCTCGAGTTCCTCTTCGCTCATGCGGTAGATACATCCACGCGGAGGGCCGGCGCCAGCCTCGAGAGTGATTCCGTGACGTATGGGCCGATCCGAAACCGTTCCGGTGGGAGCCTCGAAGACGTCTCTATACTCGTCCAAGAGGTGAGAAATGCGTGGGTCCGGCGGTGACGCGGCTGGTCCGTCCGGCGAGGGGAGAGCATGCAAGAATACAAGGCCCATCTCCTCGACGTCATTCCGAGCTATGGCGTCGCGAATTCTCGCAACGGAAACCACGTGACAAGCAATCGAAGTGTGAGGGGTCGCGACCGTACATGGGACTAACACTCCATTCCGATCACGGATGTGAACGGTTCGGTCATGGAAGTTCACCGGATGATCGGCGCTACACAACCAAGACATGCCTAGAATCATGTCGAACTTGGTGTCGAGGATGTCAAAAGACACCGTCGCGCACGCAAGTGGCGCAAAGTATACCGGAACGTCGTCGACGCATCAGTCAATTGACTTTTGCGTGCGGTCGTCCGCGAGTGTAACTTGCGTGGGTTGCGTCTTCCTTCGAACGCGCGGGCCAAGACCTGCGCGGGCCATAAAGGCTTGGCTCATAAAGTTGCGAGACGCTCCGCAATCAATCAAGGCACTACAGGTTGCCTTTCCGATTTGAATGCGGATATCGAGCAAAGGAGCGTCAGTTTCGGCGTACCTTTGGGTGGCGTACTCGCGGTCAATCTTCGCAAGATAGGAGCGAAGATCGACAACCGTTACCCCGTCGTCCGTCAACGGAGCTGGTACTGTAGTGTCCAAATAGGAGCGTAGAGTTGCCATCAAGGCGTTGCAATGCGGCCTTGGCAAGGTTCCGGTCGAGGGTAAAGGCATCCAAGCGAAGTCCTCTCTTGTGAGCGGGTCAAGCTCCTCAAGTCTTGACCACGCTGTCGAGTCCTCGGAAATCAGTGGCGAACTGACCGGATCACTTGCCGACGGTGTACAGGCTGCGCATACGCTAGCTAAATGCTCGTGGCTTGGCTGGTCTAATGGTGGTACCAGCTGGGCGGCATAATCCTCGTACGTAGCACGAGACTCAGCGACTAACGCATGCTCCCCGGTAGTGACATCGATTGCTAGCAAGGCAACCGGGTCTAGGCGGAGTGAGGAGAGACGTCGCCCCTCTCCTTGCGTAACTCAGTTTCCCGAGTTTGCTGGACGGAGTACGCGTGCCTTGCCCTTTTCGGGGCATTGTGCAGTCAAGTGTGTGACTCCATTGCACCAAAGGCAATATTTGTACTTCTGACGAAGTTCATAGACTTCCTTTGTGATGTTGTAGGCCGTCCATGGCTGCTGCCCAGTTCCCGTCGATGTCGTCTCTTGTGTCGCCTTGGGTTTCCGGACCCTCTTAGGACGCTTCGGCGGGAGCGCTGCTACAATTCCTCCATCACTCGAGGATGCTGCTGCAGCGTGGAGATCGTCTGTTCCTTCATAAATTACGGCATTGTTATGTGTCGGACGTTGATAGCCCTGCTTAGCCACATAATGCGGCTGGGATTGTTTCTCGTTAGCGGCCTTGTCGTCTGTTTGGATGACCAGGTTTGCGCGATCCAGGATGGCCTGGAATGAGGTATAGTCGTACTCATTACCGAGTGCCGACCGCAATCCTGCGCACGATCGCGAGAAGAACTCGGATCGTTGATTTGGAAAAGTCAAATCGAAGCCTGGTGTGGTCACTATCTTCTGCCACTTGGTTGTCCAGTCTCGAGTTGGCATACTTCCTTGAGAGCCTTCACGACGTTGCGGACCATGAACCGGGTGAACCATAGCTGCTCGAACTCCTTCTACGTGATGTGCGTGTGAAGTTCGGCGATGGTGCATGTGTGGGTAGCCGCCAGGTGGTTCATCCATGCCTGCGCTCCTCCAATCAGCTGTAAGTATAGCGCCTTCATCATGTAGTCGTCTGGGACAGTGCGGCAGGATGCTTCCGTAAGGAAACGTTGCCACCATGCCAAGGCGTCCGCCTTGTTGTGGTCGTCGAACTTGCTGATGTCGAAGTGTGGCATCTTGTAACTCTTCGTCGCGGCGTCCGGTCTCGTCTGTAGCTTGGTGATGTCCATCTTGATGGCGGCTGCCGTGCTACTGATCGTGTCCGGCCCATTGAAAACACCTATGTCGCCGATGAGCTTGACGACGTGATCGATGCGCCCGTTGAGTTGCTTCGTCTCGTCTGTCGTGCAGCCTGGCGATGCTGCGGCCTTAGCCTCGATGCTGCTGACGCGTGCGGTGGTGGTGTTCCACAACTGTTGCTGTTGTTGCTGATGTGTGGCGGTAGTGCGAACAGCTGCTGACAAGGCTGCATAATCCTTCTGCTGAATCTGTTGCAGCTGTCTGCCTTCGTGTATTTGTATTGCTAACATCCTATTGTTCCACATGATCGCTCGCATCATTGTCAACATCACGTGAGCCAGGTGAGTCCTCTTTGCCTCCGCCGGTGTCGGATCTGCCTGCTCTTCCGAAGGCACAAAGATCATGCCCTCGAGGATCGTTGTCCACTGATTCTCATTATGAATCAGGGATTCCGTGCTGGCGGCATTCCGTTGGTCCCGTGCTGCTGCGTCATCCTCAGCAGTCTGCTGAGCTTGGGCTGCCGCCTCTTTGGCCAGCCGTTGACGTTCCGCCTCTGCTTCCTCCTGTGCCTTTGCGGTTGCTACGGCATCTGTGAATGCCTGTACCCGCTGAAGGTAATCTGCCAACGGCTCACCGGCCCCTTGGACCGGGCATGCGGGAAGAACTTTAGTGGTACCCGGTACCGTCAATGCTGTACTCGATGCCGCTGGAGTCGTCCCGCTGCTGAGTCGCTGAGTCCTGCGTCGGAGAGGTATCACAGAGCGGGCACGCCCTGCAAGCCTGGCACTGTGTCGTGGCAGTGCCCCGGTGTCTTGTTCCATCGACATCAGTGCTAGCTGATGTGGTACTTGAGAAACCCGGTGGTCACAGAGTACGGGGAGGGTAGGGAGGGTGGGAACAGGGGTAGAACAATCACACAATTCGCATACAGTCCCCTGTCCCACTGATGGACTGTAGACACCTAATCAAAACGGAATTTTTTTTTTTCCGTAAAGGATTCAAAAATTCGTACTAAGAAATTAATAACGATTTATTTAATCAATAAAATTGAATTAATGATTAATACGAAATACTAACTCTTCAAATAACAATATTTGCAATAATGATGATAATCAATAAAACAATGTTTGCAATAATGATAATGAAGGAATTTGAATTGTATCAAGATTAGGTATCTGTTGACATCAATGATGGTCCGGGAGTTTACCGTTAATTAGTGAACTACCCGGAAGTTGCAACTTGAGGGTTAGATTCGGATTAGTTTGCCACAAAACTTTTCGGAAAAAGTCAGGGAAAAAACACTCGGAATTTCAAAAACGTGATTTTTCGGGAATTTCCCCCGTCAAAATCCGATTTTTGAAGGCTTAAACCCGTTTTCGGAATTTCTCCAACAAGGGGAACGGAAAAAAAAAAAAATCGCGAAAATTTCGGTCCCAACCCTAATTTTCCACGTTTCGGCGGAATTTCCGGATTTACGGTCCCAAAACTTTCGAATTTCCCCAAGTTGGTCTAAAACCAAAGATTTTCGTAACCCTAATTTCCAATACTGAAAGACCACGGAAATCCAAAAGAAAACGAAATATAGGATTTACAACAAAATGCCGAAAAACGGAATGCTGAATGGAAATCAGAAAAGCCGAATTTCAACATGATACTGATTCAACCCTAATACGTGTAAAATCAGAAATCCGAAACTTAATCAATTATCGGATTAGTATTACTCAATCGGAACCCAAATAAACAGCATACCGGAAGAAAACAGAAATCCGAACTATAAGTCCGAATATCGAATTGAAACGGCAATGCCGAAATAAGTAGAATACCGAAAAGAAAAAAAAAATTGCAACTTTGAACTCGATAGTAATTCAGAGCTGATTCGGATGACTGAAACAACAATCTACGTCCTCATCAGACTTACCTGGTGAGCAGATCCGTTAATATGGTCTGCTCCGATACCAAAACTGTTACATACTTCAATGAGTATGGGCAGAACCAAAGATCAACCAATGTAGGATGAGCATATATGCAGCGGAAGTCTGATAATCGGACTGACTCACATAGACTGACTCAAGAATCACTCCACACACATACAATCGTGAGATGGT